TGCCTAGTAAACGGACACTCTCCCCACCAAGACCCAACTTCCCACTCTCTGCCTGGCCCAGCCCTCCTTTCTCTGCTCTTCTCCCCTGCTCTGACCTGATGACCCTCAGGCCTCAGAAAAGTGGAATCAGGCAGTGTTCGCATGTTCTAGCTGACTGACACACTCGGTGTGGTGTCCCCAAGGCCCCTTTAGCGGGTGGTTTGTGTCAGAACTGCCCTCCCCTTGAAGTCCATGCCCTGTCCTGGAGTCCACACTGGCGGTTCTTACAGCTGTGAATAGTGTGCTGGGAGGGGTGCAACTGTGAGAGGGCTGTGCTTTCTAATCTCTGATATATATATAGTTTCTCTTCTTGGTAAGTATTATTTTCTTTATAAGTATTTTCAATATTTTCATATAGCATTTTATATAGATACATTTTCATTATGAGAGCTAAAGATATGCTGTTGAGATTGCAAAACATGGAAGTCCTCACCCTCCCCTGCTCTACCCCCAAGGTGCCTGGTGCATCATCCCTATCCCTTTATTGTGTTATATACATCCACATAGTTCCCTAAAAATATTGTTCTACAACAATATTGTGCATATTGTTATACGATTTGTTTGTTTGTTTTGGTTTTCTAAAATAATGTCTTGGAGAGTTCCATCTTTTTGTTTTTCTGCTTACTGAGTTCCACAGTATTGTGTTGATGACTCGCATGTACTTGAACACAGGACTCATCCTGTAGGTTCAGTTCCTAGAAGTGCAATTCCTGGGTCCAGAGAAATTCCTTAAACTGTTCATCTTATTTTCTTCTCTGAGGCCCTGTACATTTTGCTTCTTTTTCTGGAAAATTTATGACTGTGCTGTAGAAGTTTGGGAAACTGAGATTGTGTTCTCGGATAAATTTCCTGGCTGTGATTCGTTTCCCTGGGGAAAAGAATTGTAAACCATGAGTTTTATAGTGTTAATCATTTTATTTGAGAAAGCAAAGTGTGGCTGATCTCTTGATGTGGGCATTTTAGAGAGTATGTGAGAGATAGGACCCTTGTCCAGAGTCTAGAGAAGAAAATGGTCAAGCTTGTGAAGAGATAATAGGAAAGGACTGTTCAAAAAAAGATCTTCTAACAAGTCAAATATTTTCCAGGGAGAAACCTGGCAGACTCCACCTTACCTGGGGCCTAAGGTCAGCTTCATGTGATAATTACATTCATGTCACGCAGTGGTGGAACTCAGTGATGGGCACCTCCTTGGGGCTGTTCTCTCTCCACACCTAGAAACCTTGTCCCACCATGAGAAAATAGAGAAATCTAATTGAAGGGACAGTCTGCAAAATACCATATTACTCTTCAGGAGTGCGAGTTCACTTAAGACAAGCAAAGCCTGATAAACATTCATGACGGGCATACTCAGATGAGAACTAAATAAATGCCTCATGTTGGTTGGATCCTGTGGCAGAGAAAGCATGTCAGTGGGGAAACTGGTAAGGACTACTGTACTAATATTAAATCCTTAGTTGTGATAAACACACCTTGGCTGTAGACAATGCAAGCCTATGGGAGCCTGGGTGCAACTGTTCTGTAACTCTACAATTATTCCAGTGTCAACTGAGTTGTTATAAGTTTCATTAATGTTGATTCTGTATCTCTTTACAATTATAGAAATTGGAATAATGTGAGTTTATAAGTGTCTCTTGACTTCTGGACACGTGCTTTTAAAAAGACCATCTTCCCTGGAAAAAAACTTTTCTTTAATCCAATAGATCTTAAATCCAGTAGCTTTTGTCCCAGAGAATTTGAGACCGTCATGACCTGCTGGGCTAAGCTGTGATGCAGTGGCAGAGAGGATGTGATCGGGTGAGGCAGTGTAGTCCTGGCCAACAGCCAGGCTAGAAAGACGTGAGCTGAGGTCATGGTCATACTGGCAGCAATGAGGAGCAGAATCAGGGAGCTGAGAGGACTGTGCTTGAGGATGGTTGGCCAGAGAGAAAGCCCAGCCTTAAGATGCCAATAACCAGTTGAGGATGATTTGTCATATCATCTTCAACACAAATATTTGCAAGTAGGGGACAGAAGTCACCCTAACCAATCAGAGGGCTCATCTCCTTCATAGCGTCATGATGGATGAATGAACATGGAGCCTGAGGGCCTCTCCAGTGGCAAAGACGCACTGGAAGAACGGAAGTATCTGGGGAGCCACTGGAGTTAGCTTGTGTCTAGACATTGTTTACGGGAGACACAGCTCTCAAGCGTAAGGCAGCCACTCAGAAGTATGCAGCAGCTAAAAAGATGTCCAGTCCCTAGGAGGAAATGGCATTGAAATAGGACACCCCAGTGCAGACTTGAGGTGATTAGTCATATATACGCCCAAGACAACTGTGAATCACTCCTGCCGGTGCTTGTTAAATTGGGATCTGAAAACCTCCTTAGTTAATATAATATTTCCTGAATGGATGGGCCATCTGGTTACAATCTTGGTTTCCACTCACTCTTATGCAATCATCACCCAAACAGGGACTGTCTCCAAATCTCATGCTGCAAACCCCGGGCAGGCAAGCAGGTCACAAACAAGCAGAAGTCTGGCTGTTACTGCTGGCATCTGCGGCCCTGGTTCATCACTGGCTTGGTGGGATGTGCTGCTTTGGGCACACATCCTCTGCACCATGCTTCTGACCTCCAGCTGTGGGCAGGGGAGCAAATGCCTTTGGCTTTGGAGCCACAGACCAGCTCTCACAAATGCTTGTCATTGCTTTTTTCCTCTTAAACAACTCTTTTAAAAAATGTGTTTCCCATTTCTTCTCCCATATTTTCATGGTTTGTGATAGTGGCTGAAGTTTAGAGACAAGTGTTGAACACTAATGTGAAAGCACATTTCTGGTTATGGACTTAGTGTTGCTGGTAAAATGATAACCCTATCTTTAATTAATGTTTTACAAGAAAATGGGTGTGTGTTTAGTCTTATGCTGGTAGCATTTGGGCACATCCACATGAGAGATTTCTGGTAAATCTGATTCTGGTAAGATCCCTCGGACCCTGAAAATTTCCCAAAAATCAAGTACCTAGTTTTTTACTTCAAATTATTTATTCAGGATAGGTTTTGTTTCTAAATAGGCAAAAGTAGTTTTAGTCCCTGTTATGTAACTGTGGGGATCTACTTTTCTTTTCTTTTTTAAAGATTTATTTATGTGTATAAGAACTGGGGTATAGGCCAGAGGTGCAGGGGTGAGAGGATTCACCAGAGACAGAGTGGGGAACAGAACAGGCAGACTGACTGAAATCCACTGCTGAGGGGAGCAGCAGATGAGTCAGGAGAGGTCTGCCGCACCATGTGGCCAGCAATGCATCAAACTAGTGCTGCAGAGCCTGCTGATACCTTCACAGTGCTGTGTTTAACCCCTTGTGCCACTAGAGAGGCCCTTTTTAAAAGGTTCAATTTAATTTGTATTCTCTTTGAACCTGTTAGCTGCCCCTCCATCTTTATATCAACAGTTTTGTTGCTATAAATGGACTCTAAAGCTACATTGTTGCTTGTCTGGCTGTTTCACCGCTTCCTGGCCTGTGACTTCTTACTGGTTTTCTCCCAAGGTCGTCATCCTTCACTAACCCTAGCAGGTAGCCTTCAGGATACTCATCCGCCCTTGGGATCACTGGGGAACAAATATCCTAATGCCCCTAAAAGGCTGAGTGGAGATTACACTGTGGATTTTAGGGATATACTTTGCCTATTTCATGCAGCAGTGTCTAGTAACTTCTCCAGCGATGCTTGGAACTGTTACTGTCTTCTGATTTTTATTTTGCCTAGATACATTTTAAGGGGTGCCCAGAAAACAGCAGCAGTAATATGGTTTTTAATCAATCCTTTGTAATAATCAAATAAGATACTTTTTTTTTACTAAATAAGAAGTTGATTAGTTTTTATTAGCTTTTCTTGATTTGAATCAAGTTTCTCTTTCTAGATATCTTTTTGTTTGTAATAGTTCTCTTCTAGCTGTTTGGATTCCCTAAGAATAAAATTCTCTGTTTCTATACTAATTCTCTGTTTCAATGGCATGCACTTTTTAGTGACAGTGAACTCCCTGGCAGAAGTTTCTTCTCCAGCAGGGTCTAGTCTGTTGTTAATATCACCATGTCAGCTAGAAGAAAGAGAAATTTAATATTGAGTATAAAGAGCAAACATTGGTATATGATTTCTTAAAATGAAATTCAACTTTCTTAGATCAGAATTCCAACGAAAATTGACCTTATCTCCACCCTCTACATCACATGATGGATTTCGGTGCCTTAAAGAGGATTTGGGGGGTTTGAGTTGTAAATAAGTATGAGTATGCCTGCTATATAATGTCATGATTCTTTGGGGGAGAATGTGGGTCTCCCTAGCTTATGTGTGTTGGTTTGGAATCTGAATAAGCTGGTGAGTGGGGGCTGGGGGTGATTATTTGTCTACTTCTGAGCCATCCACTCTTCTAGATTCTTCATGTCAGCTGTCACATTGATGCTCACCTCTTTGTTCTTTGAGTCACACAATGACTGGCGAACGGCTGGAGGCTGGAAGGAAGCTTTTAACAGATTAGTGCCAGGCCTGTCCTCTGCTCTGCTGGGGTCACAGCAGCTGTGCGCTGCCCTTTCCGAGGCCTGGCCTGAGTATGTGTGTGTGTGTGTGTGTGTGTGTGTGTCCCCCTTCAGCCTGCATTGTGTGTGTCTGTGTCTGTCCTGTTTCCCAGGCCTGGCCTGAGAACAGGGTGTGTTTGTGTGTGTATCTGTCCCATCGGCCTGCATTGTGTGTGTGTGTGTGTGTGTGTGTGTATCTGTCCCGTCAGCCTGCATTGTAAGGTTTCTTAAGCAAGTGGGACAAGGTCTTTCCAGAAATGCTCTTCATCAAGGCCAGCACATGTGGGAAAGTAGTTCTGTGCTTCATGTTGTAACTGAGACTGTTTCAGCTTTATGGGGTAAAGAGAAATCGAAGACATAAGACTGGTTGCCCTCCCCTCTTGGGCTCACCTGCCCTTTCTCTTTGTGCTCTGCAGGCAGCAGTACCTGTCCAAAGATCGCCATCGACCCACCTTGTCTAAGCAACAGCACGACCACACTGGTGGATCAGAATGTATCTGTTGAAGAGGCTCAGGGAATAAATGGAAACACGCCAGCGAAACACCCAGCTGCAAGTCCAAAGCCACAAGGTACGAGGTGGGGTGGTTTTTGTTTTGTGTGTGTGTGTGTGTGTGTGTGTGTGTGTGTTTATCAGGTTGGGTGCTTTGTTCATCAAGGGAGGCTCCCTAGGAGAAAGATGACTTCCAAGGCCTCCAGCTATAAGTAGAAGAAACTGGGCATGTTTATCTTCTCAAGAGGAGAGTAAGTCTGGGCTCAGCAGTGTCAGGCATTCACTCTGCTGGTGACACACCAAGTGTGTGGCTCAGAGATGGCTGCTAACCCACAGCTGCAATTGCTCATGTTGCCCCAATGGAGAGTGTGGGCTCTTCCTGCTTGTGTCCAGCCAGTGACCTCACAAGACCTGTCAGAAAGTCCTCTGACTTGCTAGGTGTTGCAGGACCTGGGTACACAATTCTGAAATGGCACTTAGCAAGCAAGAATGTGAGTCTGTGTTACTAAGTAACTGTGGCTTGAAGAGGCTCCTAAATGAGTGGCTCCCAAGCCCTCCCTCCCTTCAGGAATTGGACAGTCACCAGAGGGATATGCTGTGCTGGGGGAATCCCCAGTGGCAGTGACTGTTTCTTCTTACAAATGAATTTCTAGGCAACTGGGGTTAACTCTGAGTAGCACAGTGATAAAGCCTTTGGAAATGCATCCAGAACCACACCAGGGGGCAGTTCCTTCCCAGTGGACTTCCCTTCTGACCAAATGCTGGACAGTCAGCCAAGAAACAATACTAGGCATTTTCAGAATTACTAGTCTCTGGATAATCTATTTCTAGTTGCTTTATTTTGTATTTCATTTACCTTGGTCTCTTTCCTGTTCCTGCAGAGGGAAAAAAGAGTTATACAGAATGTATTATCAGAATGTCATTATTCTTGCTTTAAAATGGAACCTTCCAGAATTTGGGATCCCTTGGCTCTTACTGCTACCTCTGTGGGTGGCATGAGGGCATGGCCATCAAGCAAAGACAGGTCACTGGTCATTTGAATGAATACTTCATTTGGGAATTTATCACCTTTTCTCTTACAACTTACTCCTCCTTATACCAGTGACATCACTATAAACAGAAAATTTTTTATTATGATTTAAGCCCTTCTATTTGTAAAGTATGAAATTTCCATCCTGTTCCATCTGAGCCTCTAAAGATCAAGTATGAGGTGAGACTATAAAAGACAAATACAGTTCCATTTTAGATAATTGCCCAAATCAAAATCAAGAATTTCATTATTGAAAAAAGTCTTTTTTTTTTTTTTGCAAAGATGCATTGTCAGCTCACTGTTTCCCATGGCTAATTGGGATAAATCCTATCAGTGTCCTTCCCGAGCTGCTATGTGCCAGAATATTTGGAATTTTTAGGAAAACAGCACTTGACCTCACTTGTGCTTTTTTGTAGTTATGGTAAAGTCAACATATTGCTAGTGAAATACACATTTACTTCCTGTCGTGAAGAGGGGTTAATACATAGTTTTACATAACTTCAAGAAATGTTTCTAGGTAACAGATGCATCACACAGAGTGCTTTATTCTTATTTTGAAGTTAAAATCTTTTAAAGCGTTAACCTCCCTCTCAAGCCTGACCCTCCCACTCCACAGCCCCACTGCCCACCACCCTCTGGGCATCCCAGATGCAGGCACCCGGCATCCCTGTATAGCTCACGGCAGGGCAGGCATTGGGAATCATGTTGAATGAGGGTTCCAGCACCTCATCACCTCTATTTCGTTTCCACCATTCTCTGTTTATAACCTGGCATTTGGGCCCTGCTTACTGACTCATCCTAAGTGTTACCCTGGTGTAACCTCTGGGGTGAGAAGCTATGTTTAATCTCTCCAGTCCCATAAGAGGACAAGAAGAAAGAGGATGGCCACAGGGATTTCCTGTGCAGAGCAAGGGACTGTCCCCCAACATCTTTGCCCCATTCATTGCAAAACCCTTCCAAGTGATGGGAGGGCAGAAGCTGAGGCTTCAAGATTCATTACTGTGTGGTTGTAATTTAACGAAGACTATTCTAGCTTAGCGGTTCTGGAGACAGTCACTGCCCATCCACCCCCCACCCACAATGCACACACACTGGAGACTTCTTGCTTGGCACAACTTGCAGGAGCTGCCGCTGGCCTCAGTGGGTAAGAGGTTCGGGACACAGCTCTGCAGTCTGCAATGCCCAGGTCAGACCCTCCCCAAGACAGAGAATTATCTAGCTCAAAATGTCAATAGTTTGAGAGCTCTAATCTGATCCTAAGAGGAGCTGTGATTATATCTTGTTTGTTTTTCTCCTGTGGGGAGCTAATAACATCATAGCTACAATTTATTTGGATGAGTTTCAAAGGAGAAATAACACCTTTGCTCCTGGTGATTACCAAATGATGTTTCTGGAGTAATAACAGGTTTATGTTGGCATTTATTATTGTCCAAATAAGAAATAATTTTGAAGAACTGCACTTTTTAAAAGGCTAAAGGAGTTGTACTTTAGATGAGAGATTAGATAATCTTGCATTTGAATCTAAATTGGAGCCTGTAGATTTTGAAATGTCTCCTTCAATAGCTGAGGCTTGTTTGGCCTCAGAAAATACCCTAAGGCTCTGGGGAACAATGGTTTATTCACTTCATACCCGTCCTTCCAGTCAAACACATCACTGAACAGCCCCTACACATCTTCCTTCTTGTTCACTGCTCTCCCCGCCTCGTTCCTCTCTTGCTGGACGTGACTCAGAATAACTTCCTCAGCAACCACAGCCAATCCTCCTGTTTGTCTTGGGAGCTTTGCTTCACTACAGTCTCCATTTTGGTTAATTTCTAATAAAGCTCCCTTCTCACCACTGAACAAAAATGTTGACAAAAGTTTCTTGATCTTGGAAAGTCGCTTTATTAATTGAATAATTTCAGTAAATGTATTTAAACCTCTTCCACCTGCCGCCACAGTAATGCAGCTGTGTATGCGCCATGGGCACTTTCCTGTAGTGATGTAGATATATATGAAACTGTTAGGGGGAAAAGGATGTCCCAAAGCAAATTCCATACAGGCTTTGTGGACTCGACCCCCACCCCAGGTCAAAGCCAAAGACACTGGGAACTCCAAATCCCATCACCACCAAAGGGAAGGTGGCTGGGACCGGAGGGTGGGGTTAAGCAGCCAGGTGGATACAAAAGGCAGACACGTGGGCTTTGGTGATTCCCCATTTTGGCTCTCCGCCAGCTCGCAGCGTCCCACCAGCTCTGAGAGTGACTTTGGGTTTCCAGGTCATCGGAGGTAGGACGCATTAAAGACTTTATTTCCCTATTTTCTCCCTGAGTTGTACATTTTCCTTATTTCTTTTTCTCTTGTAAATAAACCTTTTATTAACCCTTTTGCGTGTCTGTAGTAGAGTATTCATAAGTCCCTTTAAAGCGCGCGGGTGAGGACCCACAGCCAGGAACCCGTTTAATATCGGGGTTGCTCTATAACAAAACTAGTATTTTTCATAGTAAGTACAATGAGTGATCAAAATCTGCTTCTAATCCCCAAACTTCAGCCAGCAATTAGTTCCTCTTTTCATTTTCGGTTATCTTGCACATCCTATTTGAGAGACTCACTAACGATTAAATCAATCATTTTAAAGTGATATCAGCCAAGAGTCCCCATCTCACACCCTGGGCATCACTGCTCTGTCAGTCACTCTTGCCCGCTGCGCCTGAACCTCTCAAATTCTTGTTGACACAACAATAGATCAGTGTTTGCGTTGTCCATCTCAAGAAGCTCACACAAGCAGCCGGTGTTGTCCCCTTCTCAAGTGCGCGGCCTCGTACCCTGTGTGTGTCTGCTGTGGGTACGGCGATTCGCTCTGAGGTGTGGGGGTCAAGGACCTGAGAGACTAGGACAGAGAGGGGTGCAGAGAGGAGGGGAAGAGGTTGACAGGAGTCATATCCCCATAGGCGGCTGTCAATAGTCACATGAAGGAGGGTAATGGCAGAGGGAAGGAGCTGCATGCTTGAGAACAGGGGTATGAGGTTGTCACTCCCTTCAGAGAACAGAACACGACATCATCCTGCCTCCAGCACCTGCTCCCGGGAGGTGCGGGAGGCTGAGGGCTGGGCCAGGTGATGGTCCTTGTTTGGAAGCTTCCAGCCCTGCCCTCCCAGGGATGTTATGCGCTTTTTTCCAGGTGTTGTTTCTGTTGATCTCAGTTGTGATTTTGAGAATCAGAATAGCCTGGAGACTTTGATCGAGGAAACCACAAACCTATTGTTTCCACTCATGGAGGGAGAAGGTGTCCTACATGGCTTTGGGTATCAGAGCTGTTCCCCTAATGCTTATGGGCTAATGAGCAAGAGGAGATGGTACAATTCTTTTCAAATGTTTCCAACCTGGTGAAAGAAATAGACCTGGGAGATTCTGCTGTCAACAGAAGTGGGAGACTTGTAGGGCGAGCAGGCATGGGGAGGCTGTAAGCAGAATTTTTTTTAAGATTATTTATTTATACATACAAGAATTGGGGTACAGGCCAGAGTTTTGGGGGGTGAGAGGATTCACCAGAGACAGAGTGGGGAACAGAACAGGTAGATCAACTGAAATACACTGCTGAGGTGACTAGTAGGCGAGTCAGGAGAGTTTTGATGCGCTATGTGGGTCACCTCCTTGGCCAGGGATGGAACTCATGCTGCAGTGGCTGCGGTGAGCTTCATAGGTTGCATCTTAACCCTGTGCCACCAGGGAGCAGGATTTTAGGCACAAGCACCCTGGTAGACACCCTGAAACCATCCAGAAAGGATGTGGAAATGTTGACCTACAGAGAGAGGGGGCCCTTTTTCACTCATTGAACTTTACTCTTTGAGCAAAGTATTATTTTTCTAACACTTATAAATGATGATAAAAGGGAAAGAATTTCCCTGAGACAGTGCTCCTGAAGGTCAGCTGTTCTCGACCCACTTGGGGTCCTGTCTTGGCCATGTCCCTGCACCCTTTTATTTAATGTGAGCACAACCCCACTGCTTCCCAGGACGGCATAAGCCTCCTCTGTGCTCCTGGAGCGTCTGTGCCCACTGGCCATGCATCATTAAATAGACTGCCACCTTTCTAGAACATTCCTTCATGAAAGCAACATATTTTCCCATTCTCTGTGGGTAAATGTCATTGTGATCAGGGCAAACCTGCACTCACCCTCCCAGAGCCCCAGCTTATGAGGCCTATGTGCTGTTTAATGTTGCTTACTCTGCATCAGCCACTGATGCTTTCTCACCAGCACTCTGGAGAGAAGGTGCACCAGGTGTATGAGAGTTGGTGAGACTGGCAGGACAGGGGTGCGGGCAGGCGAGTCACGTGAGAATTGGCCAAGCCGAATCATTTTATTTGAGGCTGTCGAGCTCCCAACTGTGTCTGACACATAATAAATGCCTGGCAGGTGATAATATAAGGAATGCTGTGTGTGCAAAATGCAAGGGCAAGTTATTTTATGACCACCTCACCACGCCGTCACAAAGAACAGATTCACTTCTTTCAATTTCCTCATTAGAGGTGTTGATATTAACCCTGTTTCTGAGACTATTTTCATGGTGTGGGTTCTGGTTTGCTATTTTGGTACATGTCTACTCTGCACAGAATATTTTCCCTTAAAATGACCAAATAGCACATGATGGTTTTAAGCACTCCCCATCCTGTTTTCATGTATTGAAAGGGTGTGAGGCAAATTAATTGTTATACCTGTTGATAATTGTAACCCATGTTTTTATTCTCTGTAAGAACTGATAACTGGACAGAAGCAGTGAGGCCAGTGGGCAGCACACAGCTGTCAGCTCCTGGGTTTATAGAAGAGATGAGATCACTGAGATCCAGGGTGTTTGGTGGAGGGATGAGGCATAATTGGGAGGAGACAGGATTCCTGACCTTTCTTCCAGAAGAGAAGGGTCTAAAACAAAGAAAAAAAAGGGGATGTGGTTCGACTTGATGTGTTAAAATTACTTACAGAAAAACACATGCACATTGTTACATTTTGATGTTGTTGTTGTTACATACATACGTTACATACAAGAACCAAGAACCGGGGTACAGACCAGATGTGTGGGAGGGCGAGAGGATTCACCAGAGACAGAGGTGGGGAACAGAACAGGCAGACTGACTGAAATACACTGCTGAGGGGAGCAGTGGGTGAGACAGGAGAGGTCTGCTGCATTATGTGGGTATCTCACTGGCTGGCTGGGATAGAACCCGCGCTGCAGAGGCTGCAGACAGCTTTATAGTGCTGCGCTCACCAGGGGAGGCCCTTCGATGTCATTCTATAGATAAAAATGATGTTGGAGTAATCCTTGAAGTGATGACTCGCTTATGACATCAGAGATAGACCCATCCACAGAATCTTATCTCCTAGGAAAATTCCTTAGAGGTTTTAACATTTGGGGAAATGATCTGTTCCTTTCCTATTAATTGAGTGAAGGACAAAGAAGTAAACCAGAGATCTGGGATGTGTTGATGCTGGCTAGCTGCCAAGGTGGGAGGAGGTAATCCGGGGACTCGCATGGACCCCTTTGTGGCTTCATGGCCAGGAGCAGTGCCCGTGACAGACACGGTGGGGCCCAGAGCCAGTCCTAAGGTCAGGTGACTCTCATCACCGTGGGCTGACCAGTGACCTCCCTAAGTCTCTAAGAAGTGACATTGCTATCTACCTCACTGGACTGTACATGTATGACTTTTGTCTATGCTTAGGTGAGACGGGGTGTTTTTGTTAATTGGGAAGCTGTCCTGTTAACACATCAACATGTGTGCTTGTTGTTTGGTTGACGTCCCCATTTGACTTACCAGCTCTGGATCCTGCTGTATCGAGATGGCTCTGTTATTACAAAACCCATTTTTTCAGTGAGCAGTGTGTCTCTGGAAATTCTGTCAGGGGCTGTGCTTTCTTTCCTTTGCTAAGATAAGTGATTGTGTCGCCTCTCAGAGTTTGCAATGTCACAGCGCTGTGTTGATCCCTCGATGCTCAATATTGATGATTTTAAATGACTTCACATTAAAAGAACCCCTGGAATTTTGGAGATGGGATTTCCACTGGACCCAGAGCAAATGTCCAGGAGAGAAAGAGATACAAGCCCCTTGGCCAAGTCCAGTATTAATTTGACAGGCCCCATTATAAAGGTTGATAGTATTGAAGGTTCTTATACCCAGAACACCAGAGTTTTTATTGTTAAGGATCAGAATATTGTGAAATGCTGATGCCCATCATTCTTTTTCTACAGTGCCTCCAAAGCCATTACATCTGCAGAATTTACCTTTGGGCGATAGCTGCCAGCCCCCCAGGCACAAAGCTTCATCTGGCGCAAAACCAAGGATGGAGGGAGTGCAAACCGCTGCAGCTTCTCGTGTTTCAAAGGAAAAGCCCAGCAAGGTGTCTGACCTCATCAGTCGCTTCGAGGGGGGCAGGTGAGCCCCCCTTCCTGCCGTGAGGCAGAGGGAGAGGAAAGTGGGTTTCTGAGCAAGATGATAGCATCATGGATTTTCTATATCCAAAATACTGTGTTTGCACTTTCTGGGGTTAGTAGGCCTTCTGGAAGAGTGGATTTGAGGCATCTGATCTCATACTGATGTAAGTGGTCACTCTGTGCTTTACCTGTGTGCAGCGCTGGGCTCAGGTGGCGTCCCCACGGGCCTACAGACACGCCCAGCTGTTTATACTGTGTGTCCTGTGGGCTGTGCTGCTGGCCCCTGGGGTCAGTGTGCAGGCAAGCGGTCACCTCTCTCCTTGTTTCTCACTGTGTATATGTCTTTGTGTGGTGTACGTGTGTGTGATGTGTGTGGTGTGTATGTGTGTGATGTGTGTGGCATGTCTGGCATGTGTGTATGTGGCATGTATATGTATGTTGTGTATGTGTGTCTGTGTGTGGTATGTGATTTGTGTGATGTGTGCACGGCATGTATGTGTGTGGCATGTATAGTGTGGTGTGCATGGTGTGTGGTATGCATGTGGCATGTGTTTATGTGGTGTGTTGAATGTGTATGGTATGTCTTGTGGCATGTGTGGTGTGTGGCATGTATCGCTGTGTGGTGTGTATATGTGTGGCGCATGTGTGGTGTATATGTGTGTTTGGCATGTGTGGTTCTGCTGTCTATATGTGCATGGTGTATGTGCACTTGTGTGTGCAGTGCTCACCCTCACTGGCTGGATACCGTGTTGGGTCTGCTGTGCACACTCAGGCCCCCGCCCCAAGTTCCCATACACTACTTCTGTGATGCCAGAGTAAAAGTCGTTCCAAGTTTCAGTTTATTAGTTGTAATTTCATAGTCCTTAGTCCTGGCATTTCATTCAAAGACGCAATATTGTCTTTCCCATTTACAGAAAAATAACCCCTAAGTTAGATGACCCTCAGTTGTTTTTTCTTACACTTCTCATCCCTCAAATAAAATATAAAAGTTTTTTCTCAGAAAGATTTTTATGTCACAAAAATACCTGTATATAACTAAACAGAAATATATTTAACTGCCCTTTTACCCTGAAAGTCTAGTGTATCCATTGATCCCAGTATAATATCAGGGAATGTTTTTTTCTTAGGTGATTTTATTATTTATCGGGGGGATTTTTTATTCATGTAACGGGCCATAGCTTGAAAGTACAGTTAGAATCTTCTGGAACTTGTGCCCAGACACTAACCTGCAGCATTGCTGGTTTAAAATGAATCTCTTATTTATTCATGTCCTGGGGGAAAGTCTTGCAGAGGCCTGTCTTCATTTTTCATTCCCAATCAATTGTGGGAACTTGGATCATAAATATTTACTGCATGTCTCCTCTGAAGTAGTGTTATTTTAATACCTCTCTTATCTTAAATGATAGTAACCTTTACTAAAATCATCTAATTCTGCTTAAGGCTGCCTTGGCCGCACAGGGAGCCTCCCTTCCTCTTGGCAGGTCCCAGTGCTTAGTCCAGGGCCTGCCTGATGCCTGGAGGGATGGGCCTGCTTCTACAGCGCCAGCTAGCACGTGGGTCCACAGCGGGTCATTAGTGCCAGGTTCCACACAGTTTGGAACGCACTCTCTGTACACAAAACATGCACAGATTTCCCACTTATTAATATCAGTGTTCTTTTACTTACTCAGACTTTGCAAAATTCAAAGTCATTTTTGATTCAAAGTTGAAAGGTTTGGTCTCAGAGAGATGTGCTGTAATTCCCAATATGTTAAGCGGCCTGTTCTGGGTGTGGGCAGAATGCGGGATGAGTCTTCTGGTGTCTCTGTTAAGGGAGGTCCTGCCACAGGGCCCCCTGCCAGGGAGAAGAGCCGTCACGTGCCCTGAGCAAGATGTGGCCAGGGGCACGGGCCCTGCGGGGGTGTGAGGGCTTGTGGCCCTCACTCTGGGCTTCAGTGGGCAGTTGGCATTTCCTGTCAAGTGATGTCCTCGTGCCTGCAGTGTGGATTTTGGGTCATGTCCCAGCTTTTAATGGTTACATTAGTGTTTTATGGAACGGGGGCGATTCTCTAGGCTGTGTCACTGTGGTGAAGGACAGTAGGGACTAGCGTCCGCTCCAGTGAAGTCAGAGCTAATCTCGGTGTAGCCACCTTCCCTGGCTTCACGGTCTTGGTCTTTGCTGTGCCCAAGGCCCCTCCCTGCTCCATGAAGATGAGTCATTAGAGGGTGTTTCTGTATTTATTTTTTACTGTGGTTTCTTTTTCCTTTTTTTTTTTTTTTTAAAGCTTTCAGCTTTTTCTTTTTTGACAGTGAGAGATACTAGTGGTTTTAAACTGTGCAGGATTTCAGGATTTTAGAAAGAAGTAGATAGCATTTTCCCACGAAATGAACATCGTTTCTCCCTGGACACTGCACAGCTGCTTTTCCCCCAAGGTTTGGCATCCACAAAGCAGCAGGAATCTGTTCGTGTTGGTTCAGCCACTGCTTTTTAACAATTTTCCCTCCCCATCTTTTCCCCACCTGACCCCACACCATGTGCCCCCCGAGTGTGACTTAAAGTCCTGGCTCTCATCCAAAGCAGACTCCTCCAAAACCCCTGAGCTAGCCCAGAGCCAGGTTCCCAGGCGCAGAGGGTCTCTGAGCTGCTCTGAACACTGACATGGGCCGGGCAAGGGTGGTTGCTTGGGTCTGCGAGGGCTGCTTAGGATGTGTCTAGACGCCACTTACAGGCAGGTGTCAGTGCCGGAGCTGCCATACTCACAGGCCTTGACAGCTACCTGCAGCTCTGATGTGTGAAGGGTGCTGCGCTCTGCTCTGTCTCATCCCCTCTGCTTTCTCGGTGTCTGTTGTTGTTTCCTGTTTCGTTCTCTGGTCTGGATCAGCCACGTCAGGGGAGGGACTGAGGGAGAAGACCTTGCCCCTGCATTGCCCTGTGCAGCCTCCCCCCTCCTCCCTTTACCCTGGCTAGAACCCTGACTTTTATCATGCCATGGGACCTGCTGGTCACACTGTAAGCTTCCGCCCTCAGCGTCTCTGGTGAGGGCCGGTGACCAGTGCAAGAACAGAGTGGACTTTCTGGCACTTGATCAACGTCCACTGCGGCGACTGAGCTGCTGTGATCATGGCCACAGCCCCTGACCACTGTTCTTCACACTTGGGTGTCCAGCGGCTGAGAGCAGACCCAGTGTTGGGACGAGCACAGAATGAGACAGGCACGTCTGCACCATATCCATTTTTCTTCCTCATTAGGGCAAAGGAATCTCCCAGACTGCAGCTCTGACTTTCATGCCTCTCTCCCGCTGGAATCCTGGATTAATTGAGGCTCTGCCCTGGGGCCAGAGCCGAGTAGAATCTCAGAGGCATAGGCAGGGTCACCGGGAAATGTGTGGACCAGCCTCTAAATGTGGCCTCTGCCACCGAAGCAGGCGTTCAGTAAGGAAAGTTTTGGCAACGTGTGACCGAGTTTTCGAGACTGTGTGTTCTGCTCACCAAACAGAAACAGTCTTTGGTTGCTGACTTGTTCATAAATTAGGGCTGATGATAACTACGTTTAAAATGTTAAAAGAGTCAAAATTTGGTTCTTCTCACATCTCAGTCGATACTAACTTGTCACCTGATGAATAGCCCAAGGTGGTGCCCCAGATCCTATAGGTGAAGTACAGGTATCTCCCCGCCCATTAGTGCAGATGACACTTTGAGACTGAAGCCCTCACTGGGGGCAGTGTCTTCATCAAAGCTCCCATTCAGCTGAAATAAATGCTTTTTTTCCTAGAACTTGTCCACACCAACATCTTCACACCTCCTTGTGTTTTATCTTTTAGCTCGTTATCAACTTTCAGTGATCCGAAGAAGGAGTCTGCAGTGAGCCTGAGTGCCCCGAAGACCCCCGGGAGGCCTGGGTTGACCAGCACCCCTCAACACAAGCTGTCCCCCAAGCACGTACCCCAGAAGCAGGAAAATGACATAGACCAAGCCCAGGGCGAGCTGATCAGCCTGGCTAACGGCCTGATGGCTGCGCCAGACCAGAGTGAACACGAACAGGACCAGCAGGCCAGTGTGAGCCCAGAAACGCCCCCTGAGATGGCCGAGCCCTCACTCAATACGAACTTCGTGAATGGAGAGAGAGAGGATACCCCCACAGGCCCTGCATCCCCCACCACCCAGGATGCAGGTGAGGGAGATGTAGGAGAAGCAGGTGCAGGAGAAGGAGATGCTGTGTGCAGGAGCGGCAGGACTGCAGGTGCGGGCCCAGGGCTTCCCCTGGAAGAGGCCAGCACGCATGCAGAAGCCACGGCACAGGAGAGGGAAGAGGGAGAGCACCCTCTGGATCTGGGCCAGCTGGACCAGCCCCCTGAAGTGAAGGTAAGTAGAGCCTGAGAGTTGGGGAAGCCCCACTCTTCCTCCGCTGTTTGAGAATCAGGCTCCACAGCACCCACCGGGGGCGTACGTAAATCAGCCTCCCCCCCACCCCCACCCACCGCAACACCATCTGAACAACTTCCGAGCTTTTGCTTTTTCCTGGATGTCGTTTCTATTGATCTCTTTTGTGATTTCAAGAATCAGAACAGCCTTGAGAACTTGATCGAGGAAACCACAAACCTGTTGTTTCCACTCACAGAGGGAGAAGGTGTCCCGCATGGCCTGGGTATCAGGGCTTCTCCCCTAATGTTTATGGGCCAATGAGCAAGAGGAGGTAGTACAACCTTTGCTGTTTAGATATTTCCAGCCTAGTGAAAGAACTAGATGGGAGAGGGATTTGCATCAGCAAATGTTTCTTGTAAGGACACGAATAGGGAAGGATTCACAAATTGCTCAGTGGATTATATCTATGACTCCTCCCAGGCTTTTCAGTTTTTTAATTTTCTGAGACCCAGTTTTATAGAGGCATTTTTTTTTAATTTATTATATTTGTTTGTTTGTTTTGTTTATACATGCACTGGGTACAGTCAGAAGCGCGGGAGGGTGAGAGAATTCACCAGAGCCAGAGCGGGGAGCAGAGCAGGCAGAAGGACCGAAGTACACTGCTGAGGGGAGCAGCGGGTGGCAGGAGAGGTCTGCGCACCATGTGGGATCCTCCTCCGGTGGCCGGGGAGCAGCCGGAGATCGAACCGGCGCCGCAGAGGCCGCGGGCAGCTTCGCAACCCAGCGCTCAACCGCTGCGCCACCGGGGAGGCCCTTTCTGAGACCCAGTTTTGCAATGAATTGGCTAATCTTGGCGTTAAAAATCTCCTGAAAGATCATCTTAGTCCAGCAATTCAAGTAGATAGAATCCCAGAACACTGAAGTGATTTTTCTAGGGTGACACTCAGTGGCCCAGCCCCCAAGCTGGTGTTGTGTCCAATGGTGCAGGAAGTCACCATGGTTAATACCCAGATGTAGGAGATATGGGTGGGCGCAGGGGAGGGGGGGCAAGCTGGAGGCAAGACTGTGCTGCCTGGAAGTTCACACTCTCTCCAAAGGGAATGGTGAATCAAGGATCCACTGGGTGGCGTTTCTGCCTAGTCTCAGAATATTAGTTGTGAGAAGTAGTCATCTTTTTCCTGGTGATTGTTTACCTGGCTGATCATTTACCTGGCTGAAGCAGGAACTTTTACACACTTGCAGTAACAAGACCAGTGCATTTGCATTCTTTTTTCATGTCAATGTGAAAATATTGATGAGGATTTTACAAAGTACTTGGAATTTCTGGAATCAAAGATGCAATATATGCATCATATAGCTCCCTGAAAGGGAAAGTGCTTTAGTCTCTGAGGACAAGAAAAAAGGCCCCATCACTCAGTCTCACCTGTGGATATTAAATAACAATCTATGTAAGGAGAGTTGAGACTTGAAATTTTGACAATAGGGGGAAGATTTGTAAATGACAAATGCATATTCTAAATCTATTTAGGCTTTGTTAGGGTGCTCACATTAACCTAAGCAAAAAATCAAAAAGAAAGATGCTAAAGTACTAGAATCAAGGTGACGGATGTGGACTCTTACAATGAGGTCCACCTTATGGAACAGTTTTCATTTACCCACATGCACAAAGGGAAAAGTCCCACATGCACAAAGGAGGTTTGTTTTCTGCAGTTACTGAATTAATTGAAAAGGCTGACTCTGGAGCAGGGGAAGTTGCAGTAAGCCAGTGGGCGGGCAGGAGTGAGTCATGCTGGGTAAGGTTATCTCCGGCTCAGCAGAGACAGGACCTTGCGCACACGTCCTCTCCGCCCCGGAGAGGGCAGGGCTCCGTGTGTCTGTCTCAAGCCCTGGCGAGCGAGGGAGAAGGTTAGCGGAGGATCTCGGGACTCGCATCTGTCCGTTGGCAGCTGGGATGATGCCTCCAGCAAGTATTTGTAAACCAGTAAGAGCTGTTTTGACCTAGAGAAATATTGCAATTGCCTGTAGTTGCTGTGTACAACTTTTTTCCCTGGTTGTATATTATGTGTACATTTTCATAGCTGAGTCTTAAGTGGTTCTGGAGAGATTTAATGGAGCTTTCTTTTTCAGCACAGAACAGCTGGACTTTCTCCAGGCTGAGTATTTTTCAGCAGTGGATGGCACATGCTCTTCTTTCTGCAGAGCAGAGAAATTTGTTTCAACCCGCAAGCATAAATGTCAGTTGTGTGAAGGTGGTGAATTTTACCACAATTAAAAATTAGATCTTAAAAAATAATGAAGTTAGTAATAGACAGTGGACCCGATACCTAGAAGCAGGGAATCTGAGTGTTGCTTCTGGCTTGTCCTCTAACTACAGTATGACCTTGAACGAGTCTAGTAAATTCTGTGTGCGTTTAGTTAAAGGGGATAATCTGGGCGTGAGCCTGGGGTCCTTTTCAGTGAGATGTATTGATTCTATATTGTTCAACGTAGGCATTTTCCGTTGTTGACATTGTTCCGCAGGTTATCAGCTGCTTCTTAAACCAAGTGTTCACTGTGTACTACATTATGGACTATTTGAGTTTATCCATGTAGATAACTCAGAAAATAATCTCATGTAATTTGATATTGAGATTTATATCAGAATCTTCTTAAACAAGTTTCATTTGAACCAGTAATGGTGTTTCTTAAATGCCCACCAGGTGGGAGCACGAGGGGGTGCAGGATGGCAGGGGGAGCAGAGTAGGAAAGTCAGTACACACTGAAGTATATTGTGGAAAGTCGTCCTCGATCACTGACACCTGACTTGGAGGTAGTCTCGGCTGGGGCAACTGTTGCTGTGATCACCTGAGGTATTTAAGGACCGCTTTCTATGCTGACTCTTGAATATGGTTCTTCTTACCACCAGTAACTTACAGAATGCCCCCCTCATTGAAACTAGCCATTCACCATCCTTAGCAAAACAACACTTATCAATGTTTTACATTTTCAACAGCACCAGTGATCTAAAATATAGCCAGACACCTCAGAGTAAGCAGGTATTTCTCTAAAATTTCAGAGCCAAAGGAAAATTGTCAGCATTCTTGATACCTTTACTTCTCACCACAAGGTGTTAACAGTATTTTTAAATTAAGAATGATCATGGATGGCAGCTGATTAAAGGTTGGACTCTGCTAGAGGGGACATGATGCTTTAAGGAAGCACTAAAGCCCCAAGTTGCAGGGAAGGGGGAGGCAAGGGACTGAACACCCAGTGTTTGCACAGCCCCAGGCCACAGTTGCGGGGGTGACAGCAATACCATCCTGCTTAGCATGAGGTCTCATAAATAGCTTAGACCAGATGAGGTCAATGGGTCAATGCATATTAGAATGAATTGCATTGCAGTTGGTTCTCTTTTCTCATGTTTTCAGGCTGTGGTGGGTAAGCTTTAGTAAAAACACAGTGTGAGACTCTGTGTTCACAGATTATGCCATATAAGTGGACACATCGATTCACGGTTTCCATGAACTTTTTAGTATCCAAGATCAAACTAAGCATGGATTGTATTGATAGATTTTTCTAGAATTCATTCAAAGTGTTTCTTTTCTCTGTATTTTTCACAAGTGAAATACTAATGTGTCAATGTACAAACTTGTTTAAGACTGAAATTTATATAAGGGGACCTCCCTGGTGGTGCAGGGGCTAAGTCTCAGTGCTATCATCATGATAGCCTGACTTCGATCCCCAGCTAGGGAAATGACCCATAGGGCATAGCAGTCCTCTCCTGTCTTGTCAGCTGCCTCCCTCAACGGTGTATTTCAGTTGATCCACCTGTTCTGCTCCCCACTCTGTCCCTGGTGAGTCCTCTCACCACCTGCACCTCTGGCATGCACCCCAGTTTTTATACAATAAAATAATATTATAAGTAAACCTGTTACTAACAACATAAGTTCAAAATAGCAATATATTGAAACTGTAATAATAGCAGTTTTATCAACATAACAGACATGGATTTTTTAATGTTAATCCATCATTTTATTAAAAAAAGAAAAATAAGGGCCTCTCCTGGTGGCGCAGTAGTTGAGTGCTGGGCTGCAAAGCTGCCCGCAGCCTCTGCAGCGCTGGTTCAATCCTCGGCCACTGGTGAGAGTCCTACATGGCGCGCAGACCTCTCCTGCCGCACCCGCTGTTCCCCTCAGCAGTCGTCGGTCTGCCTGTTCTGTTCCCCCCTCTGGCTCTGGTGAATTCTCTCACCCTCCCGTGCTGCTGACTGTACCCAGTGCTTGTATAAATAAATAAATAAATCTTTAAAAGAAAAAAAGAAAAAAGAAAAATTATAAAGGCTATGTGAAGACGGAAGTGTTCTTGAAAGATTTAGAGGAGTATATATATATTTTTAAAAAACTGAAATGTCTTCGTCCTGGTTGTTTACTTTTTAATGACTATTTTACTTATATTTTAATATAAATTGTGAGGGTTTATCACTTTGGAGCATAAGTTCAAGAAAAATTAAGATAATCATCTTGGGAAAACAGTGACAGAGGATCAAATTCAGAGGGAAAGTGCATGCACAAAGCAAGCGTCTTCATCCACGGTAGCGCACCTCTTCTCGTTTCCCTTCCCTGATTTTATTTGTACTCTTAGATCTGTTGATTAATTTACAGGCTGTCTCATGAAGCATCAGAGTATTCTGGGAGTTGAAATGACATGATCATTCATTGCTCATGGTGGGCAGCAAGTCCTTTTTGGGGGGGAAGTTTACATTCCTTTGGGTTTTAAAAATGAGGACTTCATTGATTTCTCGTTAGCATAGAGGACAGATGGTGACTCCTTAGCTATTTCTCCTCTTGCCAATTCAGCCTGAGTTTCCAGAAAACTGAAAGAGCCCAAGCAGGAACCCATCCAGCCAGACTCTGACCTTCATAGTCGCTGTGTGACTGTGAAGGCCCCAGTGGGATCGTAGGAGTTTGGAGACGACATTTGGGAAACAGACGGTCGCCTCGGTCACCAAGTGGGCTGCTCAC